CAGAATCTGCATGTTATCAGATTGGTCCCAGGGGACTCTGTGCACTTGGGAGTTCTGTGTTCCTGAAGGAAACAGTAAGTCAAGGTGCAGTTTCTCATCCTGTAGAGAAGCTCTTTCTTCTTGAGAGCTTCCATGGGAGGCACTTTTGAGGATGTTCCCTGCAAACGAGGAGATTCAAGTTCTTCACGTCTTTTCATTACAAACCATTTGTGTGTTATACCCGAGGATTTTGTAGCTAATTAATTACAGAGACACATGCCTGCTGCTAATGAGAAAAATAAACATGATCCTATTCAGGGGGGTTATTAATCCATCCTGGATCCTTTTCACTGATACCTATGCTCAAATTTTATTTTTTACAACATATTAAATTGAGAGGTGGATTTGTTGATTTGTTTCCCAAGAAACAATGGCTATTGTGTGTTCCGATGTTATCCCTCACTCATGAGTGTCATGGCTCCTGCTCCTAGCAGTTTGCAGTCCAGTTGGGGAGATAAGATCATCCTCAAATTCTACATTTTATGAGAGAGTCAAACAAACGCCAGAGAAGTGTAGCTACTTCTTGAGCTCAGGGGCAATTAGGAAGCTCTGGAGCACATGGGAGCCTTTTGCAGAGCATGCAGGCAGCACGGAGGACATCTGTCCACAGCCTCGGTGGTAAGGCATTCTGGGGTTAAGGCAGCACACAGGGTCAGAGTCAGGGTCACAGTCACAGTGATATAAAAGACCAGTCCAGAGGGACAGAGGAGAAGGCAGCCAACTTGCTCAGGGCCTGTAATTTATAACATTTGATATTCTTTCTTTCTTTTAAAAAATTTTATTTATTGATTTTAGAGAGAGAAGAGAAAAACATCAATTTGTTGTTCCTCTTATTCATGCATTTGGTTGATTCTGGTGTGTACCCTGACCAGGGATTAAAGCTGCAACTTCAGCGTATCGGGACGATGCTCCATCATCGCACTGAGCTATCCAGCCAGGACCTGTTATTTCTTTTAAAAAATAATTTTTAAAAAGTTACAGTTGATATACAATATTATATTAGTTTTAAGTGTACAAAATAGTGACTAGATATTTATATAATTTATGAAGTGATCATCCTGATAAGTCTAGTAGCCATTTGACATTGTTACAAGACCTCTGTGAAGTGGATATTATGACTGAGGTAGATAAAGAAGATGAGGCTCATAAAGATGGAAAAATTCACCAAAAGTCACATGGCTAGTAGAACCAGTGCCCAGAGGTGCCTCTCTCCCTTCTGCCTGAGTTGGGCTTAGTGACAGCAGTGGTGGACTGGGGCCAGAGGAGGAGATGAAATGGCCCTAGCTGTAGGACAGGAGGTATGCAAAGGCTTGGAATAAGGCAGGACTGCTGGTGGCTCAAGGTCACAATGCAAGAGGAGTTGTCTCTGATGGAATCCAGACCCTGGTACTGGGCTGTGTGGAGAGAACTGTCATCTGTACCACTTCTGGGACACTGAGCTAAGATGGCAGGAGTGGCTGCAGGGCTCAGATCAGGGAGAGGTCTCACATTTGGACTGATGAAAGGCTGGAGAGGGAGGGTGGTTTGGGGCCTTCAGACGTGAGGAGAGCCTCTCTCAAAGTGAAACAAACTGCTTTCTGACTCATCAGCCTGGTAACCAAGACCCTCATGCTCCTAGAGATCAGGAATTAAGACCCTGTCCCTTGTGGTTCTTTCCCCACAGTTGCCTAGTGAGTGAGTATGTGCTGATTGCAAAGCCAGGCTGCTGCTGTCCTCTGTCTCAAAGGACAGAACCTTTGGGTGACCCTGACAACCACGTCCTAGGCCATGTCTGATTTGTACCACACAGAGTCCCCTCCCAGCTGCTGTTTCTGGCCCTTCACCTCCTCTGCACAGCCCTGAGCGTTTCTCCAGAACTTCCTGTTTGCCTGTGGCTGCACAGACATGGCTGTTCCTAGCCGGGGTCATCTGGTGAGGCCCTGGGCAAGAGGTGGGAGTCAGCTCTGTCTCCCCCGTAGCTACTCTGGGTTCTCTCCACCCACACTTGGGTGCTCTGGGACTGCTCCCATCAGACCCCAAGACCAGCGAAGCAGAGGCCCTATATCCAAGTGAGCTCACAAGAAGGTCAAGGTGACCCAGAAGGGCTGGTGGCCAAGATCCTTAAACTTTTTATTTTTTGACTTTCCAAAAAGTCCAAGTAAGTGATGACTTCAGGACATAGCGTTCCAGAGAAAACTGGAGGTCGGGGAGATGGACGAAAAGCACACAGAGGGTGAGGTCTTTGAGAGCCACCACGAAGGATGGACCCCTGTGCTATTTACCTGGGTGCGCCTGCCTGGTGGGTGCGCTGGCCTGCAGGAGCTGTCAACAGGGCGACAGAATGAATGTTCCTGGAGGGCAGGGACTAAGTCAACACCAGCGCTGGAAAATTTCCAGCGTGTGGGTCTGGAAAATGTTCGTACTGCAAAACAGAGTTTTCTGGGTGACTGCCATTCCTTCCCAAACCTGTCTATGAGGGCAAAGGCTGAAGTCACCAGGCAAGGGTCTGGCTGTCCTGACTAGCTGTGGGCTGTTCGCCACATGCCCATCCTAGTCATTAATTAGATGGTTTCAGTGTACAGAAAAGTGTTGAAATATAACATTGTAGTAAAACATTTTGTCTGAGGATAATCTTGTCTGGGGATAAGCTGAAGGTTCAGGAGCCCTGAGAACTCAGTTTAGGGTCTCTATTACTAGCTATGGCTGAAGAGACTTTGGCCTGTGACAACAAATGAGAGATGAACAGGATGCTAAAGGAAAGAAGGAATTTTGCCTACAAAGTTGTGTTAGCTATCATTCAACATGATGTGTTCCTTGATGCCTGGGAGGCTGGCCCTTGTATTTGGTATCACGTGGGATCCCTTGCTTGTTGGCTTCCCATTCAGTGTGGCTGATGGAAGCGCTAGGAGGCTTTACCAGGAGGTCCATCTGCCAAACACACAGTCTTAGCTCTCACAGGGCTCCATGTTAGTCAGTCCTTTTGTCCTTCAGACCCACTATTGTTAGGCTCTAGGTGTCTTGTCTCTGTGATAGTGCCTTCACAGAGCTTTCCTGGGGGATCCTGGCCAACTTCTGGGCAGAACAAGTTTCTTGAGAGAAGTCAATTTCGCACTCAGCATTATTGCTCTCCCAGTGTGTTCCTGAGTCTTGCCTTTTCCCTGTAGGAGAGGCTCTCTTCGTGCATAGTGGCAATTCAAAAGAGGACAGAGGCGGGGTGAAGTGGTGAGCACAGTGCAAAGGGGGAGCTGCACAGGAAAGCATTCGAAGCTTCTTGGCATGGAGTCGTGGCAGGGAGTGGCAGGGGTGAAGGTGGGAAGAGGAGGGTGGGGAGGAATGCAGGAAAGCTAGTGCAAGGCACACAGAGATGTGCTGCTCAGATTGTGGGGTATGCAGTCCAGCCATCAGCCTCCAGATGACACTAACTGCAGGGTCTGCCTCAGCACAGAAAAGCCTTGACCAAGGTCAACCCTTATCAAAGCAGCCAGGCTGGGCTATTTTGGCCCCACACAGGAATGTAGGGCGGCCCCAAGCCTCCCTACCCCTTTTCTTTAGTGAGTATTGGTCTCTTATAAACATCTTGCCCCAAAATTCCTTCTTAGTCTATGCTTCCTGGGTAAGTTTTCTTTTATAGCTAGAGCAGCAAATGCTTGACATTAACTGATTCTGTGTGTTGCAAGGAGCTCTCAGACTTTCTTTCCATGGAAACAGGAACTCCCAGAGGGCACAAGAGAATGCGAGATGGCCATTTCTGATTAGAGAGTCCCGATCAGAACTGTTTATGAAGAGCTTTGTGCAGTCACGCTATGGACAAACATGTGGAGAATTGTGTATAATCCGAGTTCAGTGTCTGTGTGCCTGACGCTAAGGGGAGATTTGAATGTGAACCTGAAAAAGGGAACATTATGTGCATTCTTAGGGGTTAGGAGACAGGTCAAACGCAACCTTCCTCATCCTTTTGCTGCCCTACCACAATCTGACCCGCAGGGAATCTTGCAACATCTGGTACCTACACGCCTTCCCAATGCTTCGTTGAAAATAGAACTTGGTCATTTGGTTCCATGTCAAAAGCCCCACTATTGGAAATGGAAACTTCATGTCTAACCTCATCCTCTCATTCCTTCCTGCTTATATCCTTTCCTGATTGCAAGCAACCAAGTGGGTGGCTTGGTTTAAATGAGTCTCAATCCCAGCCTGTGCCACCCTGGTAGTGCCTCTGAGGCAACAGGAAGCACTCATTAAGACAAATATTACCCCTTGGTGAGTGGGTGAATGCTGAGAGGCGTCAGATCCCTGGCTGGACCATATCAGAACCCAAGGTCAAGGTAAAGTGAGGAAGACAACTAAGGACAGTTTTTCAAGACAGGACACTTTAGTCAAGAGTGTCTGAAAGTAGGAATTTATGACAGTCATACCATCTGGCTTGAATCAAACCTCCCAGGCAACACCCCATCTCCAGCCTTGTCCATCTCAAGCCTAACATAGCTGCTCTTACCATGTCAATAATAGTATCAAACTCCACTAAACAGAATGTTCTCTACCTCTAGGACAAACCTTTAGCTTTAACACATGGTTTGATGATACTCCTTATGCTATAAGCCCCTTGATAACTTGTCTATGCATTTCTGACACTCTGATACATCCATTTCTCCCTTTTATCTTTCCTTCTCCATGTTGGGAAGAGAGACAGTGTATAGAAACCAAGACTCAAATTTGGTGATGGTGCATGGCCAGAGTCAGGACAGTTTACTTTGATATATTTTAAGTCTGCCTACCTCAGAAAGCTTTTTTTTCAACCAAAGATCAAAATAAACATATTTTTTCAGTTTTCAGAATTCTGCCTACCTCAGAAAGCTTTTTTTTCAACCAAAGATCAAAATAAACATATTTTTCAGTTTTCAGAATTTTATTGAGATGTTGGGGAGAAACAGTCCACATTATACATTCCTCATTTCAATCATGATTGGTATTTTACCCACAGGATAGGTTCTTCTCTGGCTTTGAAGTTGTCAAAAATCTGACAGTCCCCTTCTGTTGTCCTCTCATTGCTGCCTGGTGTTGTTTGAAGTCCACCAGGACAGAGCCCACTAGTGGGGTCACACGTGGGAGCGGTAATTGCGATTGGCTGTGGGGGAAGGACATGTTTGCGACAGGGACACCAGTTAGAACATACACATTCATACTCTTCCTGTCCAGATATGAATTTAAATGGAAATGAACATCTTAGGCTGAGATTTCAGGGTCCTAGAGAGGTAATTTCAAGAGTGAGGGCCTTGGGGCAACAAGATCCGCCCTCCCCCCCATGTTTGACTGTTCTACTTATCCCTCACTCACCATCATCGCCTCGTTTTCTATTCTTCAGGTTGCCCTTCCGGTATTTTCTTTTGCTGCCACCTCTCTTGACTCCCTTGTGAGGAGATCTGTTCTTGCCCCTCCTCATGCCATGACTCTTTAATTTGCGGCTGGTCGACATTGTAATTTTGGCACAAATGAGGAGCTTTGCAGGGCCGGGAGGCGGCGAGTCTGGGTATTTATGGCCTTAGCCATTGTGATTGCAAAAGGGTGTGGCTTGGCAGGTGGGCGGGGCTCCATTATGCTGTCACTAGCCTTTGTCATACTTTGGTCATATATGGGAAATAAGATGGTCCTTCTAATGCAGCTCAAAGGTACCCTCAATTTTGAGGTCCTCTTTATGTTAAATGAAGTTTTCTAGACCAGTGTTACTGAACAACTAAATTTCAGTCCTGTGCTGGGCTTCTGAGGAATGCAATGGCCATTTATATAGGTATCTCCTGCCTTTAGTGTTTAGTGTTAGTTGAGTGCCTGTATATGATGCTTACTTAAGTGTCTCTATGGCACTGGGAGATAATAAATGTGTTTCCACATGGACTTGAATCTAGGAAATCCAATTTAATGTGGTCAAAGCATAAAACATCTCTTTCATCTAAACCAGGATTTCTCAGCCTCACTTCTGGTGACATTATGGCTGAGTAATTTTGTGAAACTGTCCTGTGCATTGTAGGATAGGTACTTAGCAACACCTCTAGACTTTACCCATTAGTTACCAGTAGAATCCCCACAGCTGTGACAATCAAAAATATTTCCAAATGTTACCTTGGGGGGAAGAGCAAAATCATCCCTGTGTGAGAATCATTGGTTCAACCAATGGTGATAGGAAAATAGTAGTAAATAAAAACAAAAGTAGACTTTATGTTCATAGAGCTTTCAGCCTAGTGGGGGAGAAACCCATTAATCTGACATCTACACAAATCAGTGAATAATTACTTCCCAATATGGTTCAAGATGAGGTTGGAAAGAGAGGCAGAAAACATACCAGGCTGGTATGTTTCCCATGGCTGGGAAGCCATGGAAAAATATTTAAGAGGATAACATGATGAGATTAGAGGCTGCTGGGTGGGGGGTAAATTAATGAAGAAGTGAAGTGAATAAAGTAGTAGAGGTTCAGGAGAGAAAAATACTGTATTTTGCCATCTATAATGCACATCCATGTTTTTGTGTGCATTGTACACAAGATTATTATAACCAATGGCATGTATTCATTATATCTATGTATAATGTGCATTCTTATCTTTCCCTGGAAAATTTGGGCATAAAAGTGTGCATCATACAAGGCAAGATACGGTACTTGATAATGGTTTAGGCCTGGCCAGGGAGATGGGGTGAAGAGATGTAGCTAGGAGGTGAAGACCATGAGGGATTGGATTTGGATGGTGAGAGCAGAGGGTGTCAAAGGTGTTGGTTTTTGTTTTATTGCAGCTATCTGGATGCCGGTGCTACTCACTGAGATAAAGGTCAGACATGTGGGCAGTGGCTATCATATATTTTAATCTCAGATATTTTGAGTTTTAAGTGTTTTTGAGATTTCCAAATAAATGTATTGAATAATTCTCAGGTCTATGGGTCTGGAGCTCAAAGTAGAAGCCTGAGCTGAAGATATCCACCATTCCCAACTTCCCTGATAATGGACTCATCATCCAATCTTTTCTTATTCTTTTCTGATGTCTTATATCTCTCCCCTGTCATTATCCTTACTCAAGAACCAAGCACCTGGCTAGCAGGGGGTTCTTAGCAGAAGTTGAATAAGAGAATGTATTTTAAGTCCCACTCCCTGTATTTTTTATGTCTATAGATAACAAATCATGTTTTGAAACCCAGATTCCTTCAAGTGAGACTTTCTATTTTTCTGTTTCCAAGCAGGTCTCTCTGAAGGTCTCCTGGTCTTCTGTTGGAGACTTTTCTCACCCAAAGAGGCAAGAGCCTAGCTGTTTCTCCTACAAGCAAGTTTCTTGAAAGCAGGAATTTAAAAATTATGTTCACTGCTATATACTTCTAGGCACTAAACAGTCCTGCCACAAAGTAAGAACCTAATAAGGAATTGTGGAATACTTTTTGAATAAATTAAAAACCCTATGTTTCTGACTATCCCATACCTCCCTATTTTGTCCCACCTCTCCAAAGAAGACTTTCCTGACTTTTCAATATTTTACTGTTCAAAGTTCATGGTTCTTTAACATCAGCCTTAAAGTCTGGGCAACTAACGTCAATGGTGTGAAACCCTGTTTTGTGCCTACATTGCCATGTCACATGAATGAGTCGGATCTCAACAGGAGGTAGTGTGTCTTGGTTCTGGTCCTGATTTCGGCTCTCTTTTTTGTAAGTGGGTTGGGTTCCGTACTTTCTGAGCTCATATGACTTCTGTGGCAAGCTCCTTGTAGTTAGGGACTAGATATATTTTTTATTTGTACTGCATTTCTCACAGGTTCTTTCTAGCCTCTTTGGTATTATGAGGCAGACGGTACAACACAGAATGACATCGTATATCTAGTAGAAATATCATTTCTAGACAGGGAAGGGAAAAAAGACATTGCCTCAATAACTGATCCTCTAGTGCTCTAGGTCGGCCTCACATGTCTGACTGTGCTGACTGTGCTGGTCTCTAGTTTGAGAGGCATTTTCTGGATGGTCCTGGAAATTGGATAATGCCACTCATCCAAGTTCTTTCCATCCCAAAAGAACCATTCTGGCCAAGGAGAAGCTGAGATCACAGGGAAGAAGGCAGCCAGACTTGAGAACTGATGAAGAAACAAATAAAGAAGTACCTTAGCATAGAGTTAAGGAGTAGTTCTGGTTTCAGACATCATGCTGAGAAACGCAAGCAGCACAAAGCCCAGTGCTGGGGGCAGCAATGTGAAAGCCAGTTGTGGGTGAGACTGTGGGGTGTTTGAGTTGGCTTCCTCGTCAGACCTCCTGGAGGAGGGATGGAGTAGGGTTGAGCATTGGGCAACTCTGCCTGTCTTTCTGTTTCTGCCTCACTGTTGCTTGAACCAATGACAATTTAGATAGAGGACAATGAGTTCAATCCTGACCCTCAGTGAGCCCAGGGCTGGCCTTTCTTTGAGGACCTTCTGTTAATCCTCATTATTTTTTGGATTCTTTTTTTCTATTCTAATTGGGTGTTTTTTACTTCCTTATATTCCAAATTACTGGTTTGATTCTTAGCTTCATGCACTCTAATGTTGATTCCCTGTAAATTATTTTTCATTTCAGTTAGTGTATCCTTAATTTCTGACTGGCTCTTTTTTATGGTTTCCATGACCCTTTTTATGCTGATGAGGTTTTCTGTAAGTTCATCTACTCTTCCCCTAAGTTTACTGAATGTCCTTCTAACCAGTGTTTTGAACTCTGCATCTAGTAGATTTCTTCTCTCCATTTTGTTTAGTTCTTTTTCTGAAGTTTTGATCTGTTCTTTCATTTGGGACATATCTCTTTCTCTCCTCATTTTAGCAGCATCCCTTTGTTTGTTTCTATGTATTAGGTAGAGCTGCTACATCGCCCAGGCTTCATAGAGTGGCCTAATATAGTAGGGATCCTATAGGGTCCAGAGGCACAGCCTCCCCGTTGACCCAAGCTGGGCACTCCAGCTGTGCCCCTCCCAACATATTGGCTGTGTATGCCATTCTGTTGTAGTTGAGCCTTGATTGCTGTTGGCACATCAGTGGGAGGGATTTACCCCCAGGCAGATCAGCTGCAAGGACTGGTTGTGCCTATTGTGGAGGATCAGCTGTATAGTGGAGAATCAGCTGTACAGGGGCCCACCCTATAGAGCAGGACTTACTTCAGCAGGGCTTTGATGCCCACTGAGTCTGCCTTTTGAGTGTGTCATTCATGAAGGTGGTTGAATGGTGCCCCAGCATGGTCTGAAACTGCTCGCTGGGTGTGCTGGCTCTGACCTTCCTAGGAAATGCAGGCCAAAGTCAGTCACTGAAGACTGTGTTCTGCCCATGGCCATTCAGCATGAGCTACAAAGCAATCTGTACATGGCTGCTACTAGTGCTGGGCTTGGAGGTACCCAGGCCAGGCCAAGCTATGAACCAAGGCAGGCTGCCATTGGTGCTGGGCCTGGGACCACTTAATGAGGGGTGTGGAGCACACTGAGGCCACATGCTGCTTGTTTGAGAGATTTTAGGAAAGTCTGAAGCATGAGCCAAGACAGACCATTCTTATGGAAAAGCCACTGGAAACAGCTTGGGTGGGCCTGCAAGTTGGTGGGTTGGGGTCTCAGGGTATCACCGGAGTGGGGCAAACAGTGATAGCCAGGTTGATGGAAACTCAAATATGGCACCTGCTACTGGCTCTGTGGATGTGGGAAGGGAGGGTACAGAAAAAGAATAATGGCCTCCACCAGCACTTTATCCGGGAAAAATGTGTCTGATGCCAGATAATTCAGCTTCTCTCCATATGTTCCGGGTGTCTTTCAAGCTGCTGCCCCAGCACTGGAGCTCAGAGTGAGTGAGTCTAAGTAAGTCTTTGTGGGCCCTTTAAGAGGAGTACCTGGGATTCCAGAAGTCTTCCCCTGCCTCAGTGACAAACCCCACTGTTTTTCACAGACAGAAGGTATGGGGATTTCTCTTCCTGGCATTGAAACCCTGGTCTGGGAAGCCTAGTATGGAGCTGGGACCCCCCATTCCTCAAGGGGGACCACTGCAGCCAAGATATCTCTCCTGATTTTTATCCGCCACACCTGGGTATGGGAACAGCATGTTCTGCATCTCTGCCCTTCTTACAGTCTCAATGTGGCTTCTTCCTTATATCTTTTGTTGTGGGACTTTTATTCAGACAAATTTCAGGAGCTTCTGAAAGACAGTTGTTCTGTAGTTTAGTTGTAATTTGACCAGAAGCCAATTTTTCCTTTTGGATGAGAAAACAGGCACAGAATGGCTACACGAATTACTTCAAATAACCCAACACAGGAGTAGCAGATACACCCAATAAACCTGTTTCCTACATACTTTGGCTTTCTGGTGGGTCTTAGCTTGTGCTTCTCTTGGTGAAAGGAAGTAGATATTTTCTGAGAACTATTGGGAGGTGAAAAGAGAACAGAACCCCTGGTCCCATTAGAAGATGAGCTATCAGCTTATTCTTTTCTTGGGACTGAGTGTTGTTTTGTCTGGGGACAA